ACTTGTGTATTCCTTCCATCTTCTTTTGATGTTCTCTGCATCATTCAATAATTTGCCTTCAATAACGCAAGTCTAGGCTTGAATTTTTTTCTTCAGTTGCCTCAGCTTGAGAAATGCTGAGTGAGTTCTTCCTTTTTCGTTTTCTAACCCCAGGTCTTTGCACATTTCATTATAATATTTGACTTTGTCTTCTCGAGCTGAACTTTGAAATTTTCTGTTCCTCCTCATTTCTTCCATTTGCTTTAGCATCTCTATGCTGGAGAGCAAGTTTCAGTGTCGCTTCTGACATCCATTTTGATCTTTTCCTTCTTGTCTTCTTAATGACTTTTTTTGTTTTTTTAGTGTTTTATTGTGAATTATATGATAGTTTACATGGGAGAACATTAGTTTTACATTCATTCTATCGTACATCGTATCATTGCCATGGTTAGAATCCCCTCCATGCATCATCAACCAACCAAAGGGTATACCCCTACACTATTCCCGCCCCTCTTCCCCAGTCTTCAGTACACAGTCGCTCTCCCTCTCTGGATCTAAAGCCCCCAGCTTCTCCATCGCTCCATGTCATTGTCTCTTCTTCATGAATTTTGGCTTTCTTCCTGTATGACGTCCTTGATGCTATCCCACAACTCTTCTGGTCTTCGGTCTTTAGTGTTTAATATATCATATCTGTTCTTCAGATGATTTCTAAATTCAGGTGGGATATATTTCAAGGTCATATTTTGGCTTTCATGGCCTTGTTTTCATTTTCTTCAGCTTCAGTTTGAATTTGCATACGAGCAATTCAGGGTCTGTTCCACAATCTGCCCTGGCCTTGTTTTGGCTGATTCTGTGGAAAGAGAAGGTGAAATGAGCTTTTCCACCTTCTCTTTCCACAGATATAGTCAACTTGATTTCTGTGTATTCCATCTGATGAGGTCCATGTGTATAGTCACCTCATGTTGTCTGAAGAAGGTATTTGAAATGAACAATTGGTCTTGCAGAATTCTATCATGCGTTCTCCAGCATCATTTCTATCACCAAGCTCACATTTTCCAACTACTGGTCCTTCCTCTTTGTTTCCAACCCTTGCATTCCAATTGCCAGTGATTATCAATACATCTTGACTGCATGTTTGGTCAATTTCAGACTGAAGAAGTTGGTTGTTGTTGTTGTTATGTGCCGTGGAGTCGGTTCCAACTCATAGCGACCCTTTACAGGGTTTCTGAGACTGTAAATCTTTACAAGAGCAGAAAACCTCATCTTTCTCCCATGGAACAGCTGGTAGTTTCAAACTGCTGACCTTGAGGTTCCCAGCCTGATTCGTAACCACTATGCTACCAGAGTTGGTAGAATTCTTCAATTTTATCCTCACTGGACTTAGTGGTTGAATAATATTTGAATAATAGTAGTATTAACTGGTCTTTCCTTAGGTGCATGGATATTATCCTATCACAGACATCTCATGAGAGATCTTGATACGTTCTTTCTGATGATGAATGCAATGCCATTTGTCATTCCCGGCATAGTAAGCCATGTGATTGTCAGATTCAAAATGGTCAATGCCAGCCCATTGTAGCTCACTAATGCCTAGGATGGAGTCCTGGTGTGGCGCTGTGGGCTAATGTGTCAGACTGCAAAGTCATTTGATACTGCAAGGTCAGTAGTTCAAGCTCACCAGCTGCTCCTTGGAAACCCTATACAGGGTCGCTATGGGTCGGAATTGACTCAATGGCACTTAACAACAACAATACCTAGGATATCGATGTTTTGACAATTTCCAATTTTCCTAAATTCATACTTAGTACATTCCACGTTCCAATTATTAATGGATGCTTACAGCTGTTTCTCTTCATTTTGAGTTGTGTCCCTTCAGCTTTACTCCATCCATGTCATCAGTCACCTCTACTTTGAGGAGGCAGCTTTTTCCCAGTCACATTTTGAATGCATTCCAACCTGAGGGGCTCATTTTCTGGCAATATATCTGACAGTATTTCACTGCTGTTCATAGGTTTTCAGTGACTAAATATTCCAAAGCAGTTCCTCTCTCCTTCTTCCTAGTCTGTCTTTGTCTGGAAGCTCATCTGAAACCTATCCACTGTGAGTGACCCTACTGGTATTTAAAACACCTGTGGCATAGCTTCCAGAATCATAGCAACACACAAGCCACCACAGTATGACAAACTGAGAGAGTAGTGATGAGGAACCTGTACATAGACCAAAAGGCAGTTGTTTGAACAGAACAAGGCAACACTGAATAGCTTAAAATTAGGAATACTGTATGCCAGGGTTGTATTCTTTCACCATACTTATTCAATCTGCATGCTGAGCAAATAGTTCAAGAAACTGGATTATATGAAGAACGTGGCATCAGGATTGGAGGAAGACTCATTAACAACCTGCGATATGCAGTTGATACAACCTTGCTTGCAGAAAACAGAGGACTTAAAATACTGATGAAGAGTCATGATCACAGCCTTGAGTATGGATTTCACCTTGATGTAAACAAAACAAAAATCCACACCACTGGACCACATCACTGGAGGAGAGATTGAAGTTGTTAAAGGCTTCATTTTGCTTTGCTCCACTATCAACATTCATGGAAGCAGCAGTCAAGAAACCAAATGATGCATTGCACGAGGTAGATCTGTTGCACAAGACCTCTTTAAAGTTTTCAAGAGCAAAGATGTCAGTTTGAGGACTGAGCTGTATTTTCAATAGCTTCATACGCATGTGAAGGTTGGATAGTGAATAATGAAGACCATAGAAGAATTGGTACACGAGTTATGGTGTTGGGGAAGAATATTGAAAGTATCAGGAACTCCTAGAAGAAAAACAAATCTGTGTTGGAATAAGTACAGTCAGAGTACTCCTTAGAAGCCAGGACTATGAGCGACTCCATTCATCTCTCATACTTATGACATTTTTCAGGAGGGACAAATTCCTGTGGAAAGACATTATGCTTGGCAGAGTGGAAGGTCAACGAAAAAGAGGAAGACTCCCAAGAAGATGTATTGGCACAGTGGCAACAGTAGTGGGCTTAAGCTTAACAAAATTCTGAGGATGGTGCAGGACTGGGCAGTGTTTCATTCTGTTGAACACAGGGTTAGTATGAGTCGGAACCAACCTTGAGGACATCTAACAACAACAACATATCTCCAGATGAATATGTATATGGTATGCATATAAGTGAATAAACATACAAATGTTCACAAATGAATATGTATATCTGTGTATACTTAAATATATAACTAAGAATGCACATGAAAGCATTTGTTCCCCATACACTTTCATCAACAGATATAAACTTATCAGAAATGTAAGTCTAACCTCAGAATGGTTTATGTTATGACTGATTTTAGTATTTTTCAATGTTTTAGTGTCAGTATTCTTTCTTTCTCTAGAATCATTGTTCTTTCTGAAGATTATCTGTACAGTCCTTGATTAAAATATGTCCTTTTTAAAAAACATCATTCAAATACAGGATACAATAAAATCAAAACCAGTGCATTTTAATAAAGCACAGTAAACTAGCAAACACTTATAAAGCAACTACTAGTATTAGGAAAATAAATGTTTTAGTTAATACGTCCTATATAATCATTTACTTTGTTATGGAATAGTTGTAGTAGTTACATAATGAAATTGCTTTTATCAGTCTTTCCTTCAAACAGAAATACTGTGAATACATACTGAGCACTAGATAGTGTTAACCATCAGTGAGTGGGGAAAAAGTATATTTTAGGTAATTTTGCAAATTTCTGTTTATTTTGGATTTCAAGACTAGTAAGTCTATAGACCCTGTTTATTCTAGGCCAATCTTTGATTGATTTAAGTTCATTGCTTGATTTTAAAATAATTGTAATATTTTGCTCAAATCATTTTAAAGTTTACAGTTGTTTACAATTTTAAGCAAATTACAACTATTCGAACACAGGAGGTGCTTAATGAATGTTTATAGATTTATCTTCTGAAAGGAAAATTAGTAAAAGAAAAAATTCTCAAGTTTAATATTTATTTTCTACTGGGAAGAGAAATAGAGTAAGAGGCTTGGGTATTTACAGCTATAAGATCACATAAAAGTGTCACTTTTGCCAAAGAATGGTTAAAACATTCTAGTCCCGGCATGTTTAATAATGGGCACACAACCTATTTCTTTGTTTCGTAACCATTGAGCGCTTTCCTTATTTTGTCACGGCACAAAATCAACGTCATCTAGTTATACTTTTTGATTTACTGCTAGAATCTGACTGTCCTATCAGTAAGTATGTAGGAAAAGCCATGAAGCGCAGGATGGATGTATTTGAAACGGAAGGTGCCCATTCTAAATAATTTTATGTGGGAAAATAATTTCAAGTTGAAGGATAACTACAGAAGAGGTAGCCAAACACGTCGAGCCACCGCTGTCCGCTCAGCGTTGCACTGGCCAGGCAGACGACCAAGGCTCACAGGGGCAGCGTCCTCTCCCCAGGCGGCGCACCGGTCATTCGGAAAGGTGCCGCGCGGGGAAACGTGGCACCCTTTCCAGTCCGCGCTCGAGCGCTTCCGCGCGGCGGCCGAGCGCTCCCAGAAGCCTTGCCAGCCATGGGGCAAGCGTCCGCGCACCGGCGGCGTCAGAAGCCGTCCGAGCGCCGGCGCCGGCGCCCGCCCGCCAGCTCGCCCGGGGACGGGAAGTGGCGCCCAGCCCGCCCTCCGCAGCCGGGGCCCCGCAGTCCCGCACCGCCCCTTTCTCCCGGCCTCTCCCTCGGCCTCCGCCACCCGGGCCGAATTCTTGCATAAATTATGCCAGGCGCGCCTG